CCCCCAACCCCACCCTGTTAAAACACAAACAAACAAACAAAATTAAGCAAAACGAAACAAATGCGAACAAAAGAAACAAACAACCAACAAAATCTGTCTCCGGGGAGCCCTTCTTCTATCTAAAAGTGTTGTACAGAACTAGTCAGTCGGGGTAAAATCGCCCACCAGACCTAGTGCAGATCACCCAGTATAGTATAAGGCATCGTGGTGAAATCAAGTGCTCGTCAAAATAATGAAATCAAAGAATTGGGATTGTTCTTGCCATCAGGAAATGTTTTTCTAATTTCTTTCTTTTTTACATTTTGGGGCCAAACATCTTTTCTGTCAATTTAAAAACACATTTCTGAATGAATTTTAACGAAAAACACTGATTAAAGGCACACCATTTTCAGTTTCTAATGTCTTTCAAGCTTTGAAAATTACCTAACTTTGGCTGCTATTTTATCTCTAATGTTGCCTATGAAATCAGGCGACCCTCACCTCCTTCAATCTCGACTTTCATTCAACATAGATTGATTTTTGTCCTCGAAAGGCAAAGCAAATAAACAGGCATTTTTATTGTATAGTATAAGGTTTTACGGCGCTCGCAACTGTTAAGGTCATATGAGCGCTTAAACAGGCTTTAAGATGATACCAATAACCCGATATGCCAGAAAATTGACGAGCGCCTGGTTCCACACTGTTGTGCCACTCATCTTTTTAAAAAAAGTTTTAGTAAGGTTTTACGGCGCTTGGAACTGCATAAGGTCATAATATGAGCGCCGAGGGATGGATGCCAACAGAGAAGTCTAAGCGCTCATATGACCTTATGCAGTTGCGAGCGCCGGTAAAACCCCAAACTAAAACTAAACTAAAAGAGAAGTCCAAGCGGGGAATCAGGCTTACTCTGCTCCCCTCTCTATCCTCAACAGCACAAAGTCTACTATGACTATCAAGGCACCCTGGAAGTAGCATTCACAAGAGAGAGACAACCATACAAAAGAAGTAGAGGGAAAATTCCGATAGTAAGGATGAGGAAAGAAAACGCAGCAGTTCCCCTTATGTTGTTAAGGCACAGTGTGAGCATGACATTGATAAATCAGCTCATTTACAATTCTACAGTGCATAAGAACAACACCAAGCACTCAGGCTATAAAGGAAGAGGAAGGCCACGCAATGGTGGATCGAGGGTGTCAAGGAAACCCTAAGAAAACATGACATCACAACTGAAAGAGCTGAGGAGCAGGCCTACAATAGAAAACTGCATCTCCCATCGACGCTTAAGGGGG